GTTTTCTCAAAATTCTGCATCTAGAACATCTTCAAAGCCTCTAGCTGAAATGATTCAGCCTCAGAGACTACTCTGGCTAGGACTTCAGATAAGCCCTGCACAGATACTAGACAACAAAAGTTACAGCAGTTTCCCCAGTACTTTACCATCATCCCAGTTTTCTCAGGTCTTCTATAGATGCCAACACTCCCAGACAACAGGAAGCAGTCTAGAGAACATGATGCCCACATTCCCAAGAAGTGGGGTGGATGGTTTTTGGTCATTCAATGGGTTATGGATATTTGTCATGATTTAAATGGATTGGTTATGAGTTGTTATTAGTCATGGTCAGAAAAAAAAATGGTAAAAAAAGAAGACTAGGTTTAGATATCTCTTTCTGAAGGGAAAAGGGGAAGATATAGTATAGAAATGATGGGTTAGAAGGGTGGATTGTTGAGTCTACTTTTGAACAACCACTGTTCCCAACTATTCTATATTGATATGGATTTTTGTATATTGATACAAATTTAAGGTTATTTTTGTTATACTGTATATGTTTCTATTCTTTCTTAATGTATTGTGCCTATACAGCTCATTTTAAAAAACATATAAAATTCTAGTCCTTGAAAGATATTCAGGATAATGAAGGTTAGCAGTTAGTCATCTATAACTATCAAATGTATAGTCATGTTAGGTATATTTTCAAGGTCAAATGGAGTTTAAATAGATAGATGGTCTTTAAACACTTCAGAGACATACAGAATATGACATTTAAAATGTTTTAATAACATAAGGCTTTTCATGACAGTGAGACACATCTGTTCCTGGCATCACCAATTTACTTCAAAAAGGATTATGGGCACCAAATAACTTCCATATGGAGTTTGCTTTTATCATAGCAAAGTTAGGTTCTGAGCAAGAAATTGTCCTTGCCTTAACTTCAAACAGTATGTACAAACAGGACACAAAAGATGGCAACTACTGAACTTTGCCAAGAAAAGGTAGGACAGTCCTTCAAAATTCCTGATTCACAGAACAGTCTGTCAGGTATTCTAGGCCTGTAGTCAGAAGCTGGATGCTCCATCATTGCAAAGGAATCTTGGGTGACTGACCAGGCAGCCGTTTCTGTCATTTCTATAGTTTTGGAAGTTACTTGCTCTGCACTTCCTGTTTACTCAGGTAATATTATATCCTTCTTGAGTATTTGATTGGGTTGAAGGGTAGATAGGTATAGTTTACAGTTTTCTTTGTTACCAAAACAAACAAAAAAACTTCACAAAAGAGGTGTAAAGTGTATAAGGTTGAGATACATAAAAGCTTAAGTTACATATCTAAGAAAAAAATTTTAAGGTCTAAAAAGATATTTTTAGGATGGTAATACAAGTTATAATAATAAAAAGTGGCATACGTATTAAACTTTAGACTCACCCAGATAGGATAGATAATAAAAAAAATCTCCAAATTTTCCTAATACAAATGGACTGGACATTGTAAATGTAATTCTTACTCAATAATTGTTCTTATTGTATACAGTTTTAATGTATCCAAGCTAAAACATTTCCTTTTTATTTAGACAAAAGAGGGAAATGTTATGTACTAGTTGTACACTGTGTGAAGATGTGTTGCCGTGATTGGTATAATGAAAAGCTAAATGGCCAATAGATAGGGAGGAGAGATAGGTGGGCTTTCTGCACAGAAAGAAAGGAGGAGGAGGAAAGGATCAAGTCATGCAGGAGATATCAGGAAGCACCAGGAGACACAGCAAGCAGGACATACAGGAAGAGAGGTGATAGCCATCAGCCACATGGCAGAATGTAGACTAACATAAATGAGTTAATTTGAGCTATAAGAGTGAGATATGAACAAGCCAAAGCTATAGGCTGAGCTTTCATGATTAATCAGAAGTCTTCATGTCATTATTTTGGAGCTGATGGGACAAAGAAAGACCCATTGCAAGTTCCCTGTGCCTTTTCCTTTTGAGAATTTTGTGTGGACTTTGAAGGATGAAAATGTATAAAATTGCAGCCTCTTTAAACAAAGTAATTCTTTGGAAAAAAAATCCCCACCACCATGGAATCATATAGTATGTGGACTCTGCACACAGAAATCCCCACTGTGCCCTCCTGATTACACCAAGAACAGGAAAGTTAGGGATTAAGTAACTGGGCACACCTGACTCTAAGTATGAAACCCATGCAATGCAGATCCAGAGCTGAGGGCAAAAGTTCAGTTAGTAAGTGTAGAGGATTCAGTAAGACATCTTTCCTTTTCGGAGTGTATGAGGGAAACAGGCCCATATAGCTGTACCCTATTACCATTTTGGAGGTGTGTACTGCTATGGGTGTGGTGTATGTGTGTACAGCATGCAGGTGTGGAGGTCAGAGAACAAACATGAGTGTTGGTTTTTAGGTACAGGTCCACATTCTGAGACACGGTTCTTGGTGGCCTGAAACTTTGCCACATGAGCAAGGCTTAGCATGGTGCCTGGCTTTTCCATGGATTCCAGAGATCCAAACTGATATCTCCAGGCTCCTGAGGTTGAGTACTTTGCTGACTGAGCCTTCTACTCAATTTCCTTTCACCTTCTGAGTCTCCCCAAAGTCCTGCCTTTCCCACAGTCTTCCCTCCTAGGTCTCCTACAGATCCCAGGGCTGAAGATCAAGGCCCTCCTCAGGTTGTTCATATGTGCCTTACATCATACCTCTAAAACGGTCACCTGAACTGGGTCACACCCTCAGCAATGACTTTCCAAGCTCTGAGAGCCTTGCACATGTGCTCTGGCCACCTCCTGCTGGGCCCTCTCCATCTGTCTGGAAAGTAGCAGAACTCCTACATTATCTGGTTTAGAAACCATCTTTGCTATCAGAGCCTCAACTTGCCTCGTGGGGTTGTGCCAGACAGTGGGATGGGTGCAGCTCCACTTTAGCCTTTCTGGTTGGGAGATTGAGTGCTCTGTGTGTTTCCTCTATGGAACGGCAGTAGCTAGAGATGACCCTCTTGTGGAAATTGCAGCCACTGCATAGAACCCAGCCTGGAGTGTATTATGTGACTCCCCACTAGGGAGGTGGAAGCAGAAGGACCAGGAGTTCAAAGTCGTCATTCATGACAGCAAGTTAAAAGCCAGCCTGGACTACATGAGACCCTCTCTCTACATAGATCCCACTGTCCACATGCACAGTGCTCACTGTGTTTTCCACATAGACCACACTGTCCACATGTGCAGCTCTCACTGTTTTCCATACAGATCCCACCGTTCACATGTACAGTGCTCACTGTGGTGAAGATGGGTTTTCTGACTCCCTGTTCAAGGAGAGTTCCCTCTAGCCCAGCCCTCAGCAATAGGAAAAAAGATGTTTCAGAGGTTTCTCTGGCTCTGTCCTCGGCTGTGGCTCCCAGTCCTGCCTGAGTGCCAGTTCCTCTGTGGCTAAAGCACACTTAGGACCCTGGTCTGGCATTGTCTTGTGACTTGTGGCTCTAAAGGCCAACATGGAGAAAAAAAGGGTTTGTCCCAAGGGGTCCTGGTGACCCTTGGGACATGAGGAAATGATTTCTGGCTGTTTTCTAGGGAGAAACCTCTGCCAGTGCCTGTGTGTCTGTTCCCCTTCTGTTTCTGCTAGAGATGCACCATAGTGAAGCCTATGGTGGAGTGGCCAAGACAGTCACCCTAGCTTGCATATGGTGAAGGTGTAGGAAGGGAGCCAGGAAGAGGAGAAGGTTGACTTTACTGCATTCCTTCTAACCCCTGAGTGAACAAGCAGTTTCCAGGATTTACCCCTCCCCCTTTTTTTTTTGTATCTTCCCCACTGCCCAGATGTGAGTTGACCTGCCTGTGACTCCAGTATTCTGGAATCTAAGGCAGGAAGATGACTTGTGCTCAGAAATTTAGACTTACTCTAGGCAGTGCAGAATAAAATTTCAAATTCAAAAACATAATAGCTAAAATAGCTTGGGAAAAAAATGGAAGTGATAAGTGAGGAGAAAGAAGTTGCAGCAAGTGCAAATGTGAGGCCTGAACAAGGGAAACTTCTCCTTGCAGCTCAGGAGCTCTTTGCTGCTGTGGCTATAACTTTGTCTGCAGACTGGTAGTTTGGAGTGGGAATGGAACCTAGGACCTCACCCATGCTGGGCAAGCATTTTGTCCAGCTGGACAAGCTCACCTTTTGTGAGCTCTGAGTCTCTCATGTCGTTGCCTGGTCCTCGTGCATCCCAGGTGAGGCAGGCTAAGGTCCTTCACCACCCTCTGCTTGAGGCTGACACCCCTCCACCTGGCCCCATCCTGCCTCCACACAGGTGTAAGGCTTTTGGATCAGAAATCTCTTCATGCCCCGCCCCTCCTAGTACCCCCCATGAATCTGCTCTTCCCAGAGCCTCGTGTTCCCCAGTGAACCGGGACGTAATCACACGGACCATGGCTTCCCATGTGCTCTGTCACCCTTGTTCTTCCACGCAGGTACCCAGAACTCAAGGTGTGGCAGGCATAAGGCCTTTTTTCTGTCCTTATTTCTTTTGCCAGCACATAAATGGAAGTCAGAGGGTTCTTAGGAGTTGATTCTCTCCTTCCACCACCAGGGAGGGAATTCGGAGCCACCATTCCGGGCTCAGATGTAAAAGGCCCTTTGATTTCAGATTTCCACGTGCCAGCCCTCACTCTGGATTTGTAGGCCAGGTTGTACGACACTTTCACCATTGCCTCTCAAGGGGCTCTTCACCCTCCTCCTGGCCCCTGCAGCCCCACCCTGACCCTTCTTTGTGAAGCTCAAGGAAATGTGACAGGTGTAAATCCTTTTGACCATAACCTGAGTATGCTCTCCCAGGGCCTAGGCCCTTGATGAAAGACCAAGGTTCCGCCCCCAACCCGCCTCTCACACCCAGGTGTGAAGTGTGTTAGGGGAAAGACCTGTGCCCATTGGCCTCCGTGCGCCCACCCCACCCCCACCTCGTGCCCTCCGCGTGCCCCGCCCTCCGAGGCTCTGAGTACCTGAGGCACAGCAGGTGCAAGGCCCTCGCCAGCCTGTGCCACCATGGATACATCACCTGCATCCCCAGAGCCCTCCCTGCTCGTCCCGCAGACTGAGGTGCTGGAGGAGCTGCTGCAGGCACAGCTGGGGCCCCTGCCACGGCTCGCGGCCATCTGTAGGCTCAAGAGGCTGCCCTCGGGCAGCTATTCCACCACAGACGACTTGCATCTGGTGCTGGAGCGCAGGCGTGTGGCCAACGCCAAAGAGCGTGAGCGGGTGAGGGTCCAGAGCCACCTCACTCCCACCACCATGCCAGTGGGTGTTCGACACCCAACACTTGTGTGTGCCCTTGTGGCCCTTCTGGGTGATGTTGTATACGCGAGGCTTAGTCCGGGTCCCACTGGCCTGGTTATTTCTTACCTTTATGCACCTGCCCTGTTAAGGGCTGTGGGAATGACTGACTCACTCGCTGACCCTCCTGGCGGGTGCAGGTCCAGCGGAGACAAAGGAAGCCAACTGAGGACCCTATACTAGGACAGGTGTTTTACAAGCAGTGCACCCGAGCCTTGGCCTCACAGCCGTAGGTACAGCTTAGGTGCTAAAGGGGTCCTCACGTCTTTTTCCCTGCCTGGTGAATCCTGACCTCAAAGGGTAGGTGGGGGCCTCTCGTGGAAGTTACTGTTACTTATTAATTTTTTTGATGTAAAGATTCATCTGTTTATATCCTGTGTGAGCATTTTGCCTGCTAAGGAAGTCAGATTTGCCTGGGTACCAGTGTGTGTACCTGGTGCTCAAGGAAGTCAGAAAGGAGGGTGTCAGGTTCCCTTGAGCTAAAACTACAGAATATGTAGCTCCTGGGAATTTAACACAGGTCCTCTGCAAGAACAAGTACTCTTAGCTGCTAAATCATCTCTCCAACCCAAGTTACTGTTTTTTAAAAGTTCAATTATGCTGGGTGGTGGTGGTGCATGCCTTTTATCCCAGCACTCGGGAGACAGACACACACACACACACACACACACAGAGAGAGAGAGAGAGAGAGAGAGAGAGAGAGAGAGAGAGAGAAGGATCTTTGTGAGTTTAAGGCAGCCTGGCCTACAAAGCTACACAGAGAAACCCTGTCTCGAAACACCCCCCAAAAATAAATAAGAATTAAATTATGTGTATGTATGTGCACCCGAGTGCAGGCCCTGGAACTGGAGTAATAAACAGTTGTGAGCCAACTGGAAACTGAACTCTTGGGTCTTCTGCAAGAGCTATCTTTCCAGCCCTCATGAAACTTGAAGGTTTTGTTTGTTTGTGCTTCTTTTTGTTGTTGTTATGGGCTAGTACATATGTGTAAAGTGTAGATGTCATAGAACAATTTCAGGAGTGGGTGCTCTCCTTCAATCTTTATGTGGGATTTGAGGATCAAATTCAGGCTGCCAGGTTTTGTGGCAAGTGCTTTTTACCCCTGGAGCCATCTCTTTGGCACACCTCCTCCCTAGCTGAATTTATGGTGGGCTGTGTTTAGAGCGGCATCTGCTGGTAGATTTTAGTATCGTAGGCAAAACTTGGCCCCCAAAGAAGTCAAGAAGGTTTGGGTTCCTTTAGCTCTGGATGACCTTTGGGCTTGGCAGTAGCAAAGGTGACCCTGGAGCAGAAACTGAAGAGGGGAAGAGTGAAGCACACCTTTAGGCCTACTACTTACTCCTAAACTTCTCAGGAAAGCTCTTTAAAAATGAACGTCTGGAAATGCAGTAGGGAAGGGACCATGTGAACAACAGAAGTTAGGGAAAGGCATACTTCTGGAGAAGTATGCTTTTGCCAGGAGACACTAGAAATATAACCCTGTTTGATTTCAAGACCAATATATTTTTACACTTTCACTTAGAACAGTAGGGATCACACTCACAAGCCTCTTCTGTGGTCTGGGGAAATGTCTGTGCAAGGTAATGTATCAGTGTGTCACTGTGTGGCCTTTTGTCTTCTAGATAAAAAATCTCAACCGGGGCTTTGCCAAGCTGAAGGCTCTGGTGCCATTTCTGCCACAAAGCAGGAAGCCCAGCAAAGTTGACATCCTGAAAGGTGCAACAGAATACATCCGGGTGCTTGGCTGTGTTCTGGAAGGAGCAGAGGCCTCAGAGGTATACATATTGAAACACTTAAAGATAAAGCCAGGTGTAGGGATCTTACACCTAGGAGACTGAGTCAAGAAGACTGCTATGACTTCAAAGCCTTTCTATACTACAGAGGGAGACCTTGTCTCAAAAAAAGTTAGTAATTTGGAACAGTAGTGGCCACCATTTTTTGAGCCATTTCTACCTGCCAAGTACCATGCTAGGAAATTTACAGAAAACAGTTAATGTTTGTTTTATTTGAGCCCCACTTGGAGGAAATCATGGGCATTTAGGTAAGAGTCATCAGGACTGGCCTTGAACCCAGGCATGATCATATGTCTGTAGCATCCCTGGCACTGCCTAGGACACCTGCCTGCTGACTACTGGGTCTTTAGAAATCTGATAACTGAAGCACCAGAAAGAGGTTCCCATCAGAGCTCTTTGTGGTGGCTGTTCCCTGCCAGATTAGCCACTAGACAGGACAGAAATGGGCTGTGACTATCTGCTGAGCATGCTTTATAAACTATGAGGGTCAGTCTGCTCAGAAGCACCTTGTAGACAGGAAGTGGTTCTGGCTGGTTCATGGTCTGTTTCATGGCCTGAAAGTGGACCTGTCACCAGGAAAGGTAAGATTATTCTGAGACAAAGGGCTTTACAACAAGGCCTAAAATAATGTTAAGAGGAAAGTCACCAGTGAAGAAAAGGACCCAGGAGCACAAAACAGGGTCATGAAACTGAAGAGAGGATCTTGGAAAATGAGGGTGAAGGCCACTGAAGATACTGCAGAGACTGGGTAGAGGGTAAGGTTGGGAGAAGCCAGAATCAGTTCTTGGAAGGGGGAAAGGAAGTGGGCTGCAAGTAACTGGAGGTGGGAGGTGGCTGTATGCAGTGTAAATGTTTAGATTCAAGCAAACTTCAAGGGGAAGCTGTTTCTAAGCACTGAAGAGGAGAGGCTTATAGATGGGAAGAACAAATGTCTTAGAAACTTAAATGTAGTAGAATTAGGTTTTGGGGGATCCACAAGCCGTACTCAGGTGACTTCTGGAAAGGAATATCCTTTGACACCATGGAAGTGGGTTATTCTATTGTCCACAATGGGCAGAAGCACAGTGATAGTGTTTGTGCACCCTGATGGCTTTTTGTCAATGACACAAGCTGGAGTTATCTGAGAGGAGGGACTCTCACTTAAGAAAATGCTTCCATAAGATCAGGTAGTAGGCAAGTCTGTGGGGGCATTTTCTTGACTGATGATTTATGTAGTATGGCTTAGCCCACTGTGGGCAGTGTCCCACCCCCATGCAAGTGTTTCCAGAATACATAAGAAAGCAGGTTGAGCCTATTGAGCACTGTTCCTCCATGGCCTCTGCTTCAATTCCTGCCCTGACTTCCCTCAGTGATGGAGTGTGATCTGAGTCTTATAGATACTTCTCCTCTTTGATTACCCTGTTTTATCATATAGCAATAGAAACCCTAAGACAGGCACACAACAGGTAGCTGTCTTAATTTTCATTGGTGTGTTTTGCTTTATGGGTTTGGTTTGATTTTGTTTTGTTTGAGATAGGCTAGCCTCAATTTTGTGATTGTCCTGCCTTGGCCTCTGGCATGCTGGGACTGCAGGCACAGACCACCATGACTAATTTCCCCCTTGTGTGTTAACTGCATAACTGAAGTGCTGCATTCCTTACAAACTATGGTCCCTGCCCATACACAGTGCTAAATGCATTGTGCCCTTGCACAGCATTGGAGGTTAGAGAACAGTGCAGCCTGGTGTGAAAAGGAACCTCCAGATTTCAGAGTTTAGAATGTCTGACTGGTGTGTTATACTATTTGACAATCACTATGATCTCTAGAAACAGGACCCTGAGGAGCAGACCCACAATGGCAGACCCTCTGACACTCATGTATCCTCAACTAGAGAGCTCTTGGGAGATGTGGCCCAGCCTACCAGCTGTGCAAGTGGCTTGAAGAAAGAAGAGGTGCCTTGGGCTTATGGTGGCCAGACTGATCCATCATACACCTGTCATCAGAGCTCAGCACCTGTGGTGAGGAGTTACTTCATTCATCAAGAGTCTGATGAGAGATTCCTTCTCAAATAGTCACGTAAAGGTGAAAAGTTCTAAATGCTTTACTGAGATGGTTATGTTCCATGTGAAACATGATTAAAATGAGATGATCTGGGAAAGGAAATGCTTGTCTGGAGATTATTGTGTTCCCAAAATCTTCAGTAGGCACAGGGGAAAGGGGCTTTCTCCAGAGCTACACAGCCCACATGGAAGGTTTGTTCCTTTTTTTTTTTTTTTTTTTTTTTTTTTTTTTTGTTAAAGGGCGTGCGTGCATGCATGCATGTGTGTTCATGCACATGTGTTTATGTGTATACAGTACCTACAGAGACCAGAAGAGAGTGCCAGATATCCTTGAACTAGGATTACTGGTGGTGGTTAGTTGTCCAAACTGAGTGCTAAAATCTGAACTCAGGTTCTCTGGAAGAACAGCTAATAGTTTTAACTGCTGAGCCACCTCTCCAGCCTCTGTAATTTATTTGTTTCATGCCCGTACTTAACACAACAAAAAGCTTTCTGAATTCTTCTGGTCTCCAGAAAAAGAATTATATAGTTTGTCATACCTCTTTAGATGATATCGGTTGGTTAATTTGTTTTTGTTTGTTTGGTGTGGGTGGCTATAAGGTCACATTTTCTAAGTAATAAGTGTGACTTCTCCTGGTTCAAGGGGCCAGCTTTTGTGTATGCTATAGACCATGTCTTGTGGCAAATATTGCTGAAATAAGAAATGCTTGACATTGAGTCAAGCCTACTGTCACCAACATACTGCTCACTGATGCATAGGGGCACAGAGGAAGAGGGGGTATCATGGGAAGCAGTTAGATGGCAGTTGAAAGTAAGCCTAGAGGCAGACTGCTGAGGTTCAAATACTAGCTTCCTGGCCTTGCACAAACTATTGAACCTCAGAGCAAGCCCTAGTTCAATGTAGATGTTCTATGTAGATGTAGGACAGGATTAATGATTCAGGTGATACAGTGTGTCTGGCACAGTATTTGGCAGGTTAGTGTTCACTTAGATGGTCTTTGCTTGCTCCAGCAAACCACAGGAAGCTCAGCTCTGTAGGAAGAGCCAGTACTCTGCTTTAAGGGTGTTTTAGGCATCCTGTCTACCCAACTGTCCATGGCTTCCATTCTGATTGGCTTCCTAAAGACTTCTGAGTCCATGCTTAGCCTACATATTCCTAGTATAGCCACTTGAAATAAAAACTTTCTCTTGGAGCTAGAGAGGTTTCTCAGTAGTTAGAGCACTGGCTGTTCTTCCAGAAGATTTGGGTTCAGTTCCCAGCACCTGTATGGTTTATCACAATCACAGGTAACTCTTAATTCCAGGGGATCTGATGCCCTCTGATGGTCTTCTTGGGCATAGCATGCACACAATACACATACATACCTTGCAGGCAAACACTCACACACAGACAAAAATAAAGCCCTTTTGCAAGTCCATGGTAGGGGACAATTCCTGGTGTCCTATATGAGTGGATGGCCATGACTGAAATAGAGGGATGAGGGGCCCCTTGCTGGGCTTTCCCCACCTACCTAAGCTAACAAGTACAATGCTCCCCAGGTGCTAGTGTTGGTAGGTACTAGGGTGCGGAGGTGAGACTTGAGCCCATGTCTCGTCCTCACTGGCCTTTGTTAGGTGGGGGTCATTCTAACACTTTCATGCCATTCTTCTAGCCTTTTAAGCCTGGGTCAGACAGGAATCTGGGTAGTGGTGGAGCAGGCTGGGTTCAGCAGCACCCCTGCAAATGTATGTGGATGAGGTCTTTATTTTCTAAGGATAACAGGTCCTGAATTTGCTTCAGAAAAATGAAAAAGACTTATTTTTCTGGAGTTTTTTGTTGTTGTTGCTGTTGGTTTTGTTTTTTGTTGGTTGGTTTTTGTTTTGTTTGAGGTAAGATAGCCCAGGCTGGCCTCAGACTCATGATCCTCCTGTCTCAGCTTCCTGGGTTCTGTGACTTCAGACACATGCCATCATGCCTAGCACTGTTTGGTCTTTCCTACTAACCAAAAGCATGCCACTTCTGTGAACAAAAACATACTGCTTATCTGAGACTTTGATTTACTGGCATGTGGCCTCTGTCAGGGTGACTTCTGGGTCGGGTTGTAAGTAGCACTATTTTTATGCAATGCATTCTAGAATTCCAGTCACTTAATTAGGAAATTCTTATCCACTGAAATTTAAAAAGAGTTGTTTGTTTTTGGACAGGATCTCATGTAGCTCAGGTTTGCTTTGAACTTCTGATACTCTTCCTTCATTATCTCAGTACTGGCTTTACAGACATGTGCCACCACACTGAGCTTATATGGTGCTGGAGATCAAACTCAGGGCTTTATGCAAGGAAGGCAGGTACTATACTATGAGTCCTCAACTGTCTGCCTGTGTCCACCCACCAATGTGGGGACTTGAAATGAAGTCCCTGTGTTTGCAAAGCAAGCACTCTTACTCATTAGGTTACCTCCCTAGTCACTTTAAACTAGCTTTTGTTTGACCACAGGGTTTCAGCCCAGGTTACCTAAAGGGGTGACTTCATAGAATTCCAGAATACTCCCCATGTACCCTGACTGAACTCACGTGCTGGCAGCTAGCTAGGATCTCTAGACCGAAGTATTCTTTCAGAGGGGTTCAGGATATAGGTTGTGGCCTCACCAGCTTTGTTTTGCAAAGGTGGCACCCCTCTTCTGGCCTTTAAGAGAGGATCTGGAGAATAGAATTCTTGGGGCTGGTGATGATAGCATTTGGGAGGATTTAGAGATGAGGGTCAGAATGGGCTGTGCAAGCTCAGCAACATTCCTGCGAGGCAGGATCAGAAAGAAGCTCATGAGCATCTGCTGAGGCAGGGGTGGGGGTAGAATTTTTAGCTTTTAGAACCGGAATAGGTTCCCTGGGAACTAAAACTACCTATGTATAGATGGAGGTGCAACATGAACCATGAAAAGCCATGTACCTAGTCTGGGTAGGAATTGGATTTATATCAAGGTTTGGGAGAGATTTGTTTGAGCAGTTTCTGGTGTTAAGTTTGGCATTGCATTGATGGTAGTGTGGCAGCTGCCCTGCCACTGCTTGTCATTTGTATCTCAGGAAAATGCCCACTTTCAATTTTGATGTGCAGCAAGTCTGACCTAGGGTGTCCAGAGCTCTTATGTTCCCAGACAAAGAGGCCCGGGCATGTTGGGCTTCCACGGTGCCTCTGTGATAGCTGGCACCAACAACATGACTTTGGAATTGAGTGAAAATGCCTGCATATGGATGGAGACTTCACAGGCTGCTGACACAATTTCTGCTTTCTATCAGACATTTGAACAAGTCCTGAAGCTTTAGGAGGAGAGAGACATGTTTGATTTTTTTTCCTGCTTTGAAAATACTGTGATGGCTTGGGAGGAGGGTCACTTTCCCAGTGCATGGAGGAGAGCTAGTCACCACTTTGTTCCAGTTCTGCCTTTGGGAGAGGGTACAGAGTCTCACTGTGTGGCCTTGAACTTGATAGGTAGCTCAGGCTGGTCTTGAATTTGCTGTTTCAACCTTTCAACCTTGCCTCTACCTCATAAGTGCTTGGATTATAGACATGATCTACCATGGCCAGCTTCTAGTTCTGCTTCAGAAAACCTGAAGTTCAGAGGCAGGATGCCTGGTTTAAAAACCTGGCTCTGTCATATCATAGCTGTGTGGTCTTGGATAAGTTACCTATCCACTCTGTCTCAGTTTCTTCAATGAAGAGGGATAACACTGCCTCCAGGAGTTCTTCTGAAGACTTAATGGGGAAGACAGTGCACAAAGCCTTCAGACAGTGCTGGGATCCAAGGAGGCTCTGCTGTTGATGTCCTGAAAAGAGATTTCAATGTAACAGATGGTTGAGAGGGTTTAGGAACAATCCCTGATTCCCTGTTGAGGTTCTGTTCAGGAAGAGAGCCTGCTTTACCTTTCATTTTATGAACTTCTAAAAAGGGGCTCCCAGACTCCCTGGAGTTCTGATGGTGCATGCTACTTCATACTTCCTTGGTTGTGGAGCTTTGGACATAGGTACCAGAGAGGGGAGAGTTCACCTTGTAGCTTTTCCTGTTGTCAGGTTTCACTGCAGAGTGTGAGAGACCAACCAACATGGAAATGTGTGAGAAGCTGTGGAGGTGGAAGAGGTATGGGGACAAGGGACATGGCATGTGGGTTTAGAGAGAACTGCAGAGAAACAGTCATGCTGACATTTGAGCTACATGTCTGCAGGCTGTCCTGGGGTGGTTGTGAGTCTTTCCAGATTGCCTCAGTCGCCTCTCACCCCACCTCTATACTGCTGAGTGCTGGAACTTTGGACCTCACTCTGCCACTGGACTACAGTTCTAGCTCTAGAGTGTCCATTCTCAGATGCCTGTGTGCAATGGAATCATCAGAGGACTTGCTTGAAATATTTGTGGGTGAGGGAAAAGGCTTGCTAAATGTTCTAGTTTCCTCATATTGCTGTGTCAAACACCATGACCAAAGACAACTTGAAGATCACTTCCAGATCACAATCTATTGAGATAATGTCAGGAGAGGAGCTCAAGCAGGAACTTGAAGAAGAACCCATGGAAAAATATTTCTGGCTGGCCCATTCAGCCAGCTAGCTTTCTTAGATAGGCCTGTACCACCTGCCCAGGGAATTGTGTTGCCTAAAGCGGCCGAGCCTTCCTACACTAATTAACAATCAAGGAAATCACCCCACCAACATGCCCACAGGTCAGTCTGTTCTGGGCAATCCTTCAATTGAGGCTTTCCTATCAGATGACTCTAGGACAGCAGTTCTCAACCTGTGAGTCTCAACCCACATGGGGGTCACACATCAGATAACCTGCATATCAGATATTTACATTATAATTCATAATAGTAACAAAATTACAGTTATGACATAGCAATAAAATAATTTTGTGGCTGGGGATCACCATAAGATGTGGACCTGTATTAAAAGGTCACAACATTAGGAAGGTTGAAAACCACTGCCCTACAAGAGGGAGGAATAATAAGAAAAGGCTACAGAAACCCACAGAGACAGCTGACCTGAACAAGGGAGAGTTAATGGACCCAATAGTGATAGCTGGGAAACCAGCATTGGACTGACTCAGACCCCCTGAACATGGGTCTCAGTTAGAAGGCCTGGGAGTCTAAGGGACCTCTGACAGTGGAACCAGGTTGTATCCCTGGTGCTCAAAAGGACTTTGGGAGTATATTCCCTATGGAGGGATATTCCCTTAGCCTAGAGGCAGGAGGGAGGGCCTAGTCCCTACTCCAAATGACTTGACAGACTTTGATGATCCCTCCTGGAAGGCATCACTCTCCCTGTGGAGTGTGTGTGTGTGTGTGTGTGTGTGTGTGTGTGTGTGTGTGTGTGTAGGGGGAGGGGATGAGATGGGAGAAGCGTGGGGGACATGGAAGGGAGGAAGAGGGATCTGTGATTGATATGTAAAATAAGAAGAAAAATATATATAAAGAAAACCACTGCCCTAAACTATGTCAAGCTAACAAAGCTCACTAGGACAGTGGGTAGGTAAGATGCTTCCTGAGCAAGCATGAGAACCTGAGCCCTGATTCCCAACACTGAAAGCAAAAGCCAAACATAGCACTACATTCCCATGTTTGTGCTATTGGCTGGCTGGTCAGCCTAGCCAAGACAGCAACTTCCAAATTCAATGAAAGATGCTATAAAATTAGGTAGAATGTGATAGAAAACATCTGAGGTCAACTTACGAACTTCTACGAGCTTCATACATGTACCACCACCACCCCACCCCACCCCACCCCCATCCAACATGTATATAAATGTCCATTCCTCTGCAGCTTGCAGGCTTACAGAGATTTGGGCCTAATGCTACTGGGATCTGATGGTTGCTGTTGGGAACTTTGGAAGAGCAGAGCTGCTCCAGTCTGGCTTGGCATCAGTAGTCAGAGGCTTTTCTGGAGGCTGATTATTTTGATACTCACATTTCTAAAAGTTTTGGGAGTGAATAGCAATTACAGTGTTTTGGAGGAAGCAGGTTGGCCGGGTAAGGCCCCGATTACCTGTGACATCCTGTTTTCCAATCCTGCCACAAGTATTCGAAAAGGCCCAGGAAACAAATACCTTCTTTTCAGGTATTTGCTAGCAGCAGACAGGCTCACAGAGTTAGGTGGGATCCTCAAGGTCACAATGCTAGGTAGTGGCAGGTGTAAAGGTGGCTTTCCCACTCAGCCACTGGGGGCTGTCCAGAGAGGGGATAGGGAGATGTGCAAGGGGCCAGAGGAAGCAGAGGCAGTGCTTGTTGCAGGAGCAAGCCCCCAGCCTAGTTAAAGATGACGTCAGAATTAGAATCAGAATCATTCTGGTTAGGAATTCAGTCATCCAGTGAATAGCTAACAACACTGAACGTTACTTTCTAAAGGCAAGATGTCCTTCTGAGACCCTAAATAAAGAGTGTGAGACAAGTGTGGCTTGCTCAGGGATTTTTCAGAGGGGCAGGTTCTGCCTTAGGCCCAGGCTGCTGCAGGGCGCGGACGGGCGGGGACGCTGCAATGAGCTGGGCTCTGGAGGGGGCGCTGCGCACTCATCCGGCCTTTTGTCAGCACGCATTGCCGGGAGCTCGCACTTCTTCCAGCCTCCTGCAGGCTCTGGACTTGACTCTGACTGCAGCTCTCGCCGCAGGGACGCTGATCTAGGGCCTTTGTCCCGAGCTGCAGGATGAGCGGGAAGTACCACGCAGCAGTGTAGCTGTGCGCCAGGAAAGTGGGTCCCAGAGACGAGGAACACCGCCCAGAAGTGCTGGGGGGCAACTGGGGATGGATGCGAGGCCGCTGCATGTGAGGTAGGGCACCGAAGAAGTAACAGGGTGGGCACCACAGCGGGTGGATCCCTAGGATGCTGGAGCCACAGAATGACGGCGAGCTCCGCGGCAGCCAGGGAGTGGCTGCGCCCGCGCAGGAGCTGGCTCCTGGGTACACCTGCGACTCTGCAGATCTGTCACACTGAGCTCTGGTGATGGGCCTGAATGCGGATATAGGGTATTCCTGGGTTCGCGATGCCTGTTGGTGTAGCCCTCTCGGAGGGCCTCCCGGGCCGCCGCCCAGCCAGATATAGGCAGGATGTGCGCCTGTTCAGCTGAGCGCTCCTTGGTTCGGATTCACAAGATACGCCAACCTGGCTGCGTGCAAAGGGGCTGGCAGGGCAGATGCAGAGGATGGGAGGGAGACAACTAGGGTTTGGGTTTTTATGTTATCCCAGAGCTTTGAGGGTGAAGTAGGGGAGGCCACTGTCCCTCAGGAGATGTTATCGGCTAGTTCATCTTTAGAGCCCACCTTTCCTTTCTCTGTGTTTCTTCTCCTCCTGTTCTGCACCCCAGGGAGAAACAGAGAATGCCGCTCTGGATCCAGGGTCCAGCAGTTACTTGTTGTGAAATCACAACCACAACCTGCCAGGTGTTGGGGGAGGGGAGGGCAGGGTAGGGCAGGGCGACTGCTTTAGGATGACAGGCCTGCAACTGGCCTATTGTCTGGATTTTCAGTCTCCTTCCCTTTCTATCCTTAATCTCCATCCACTGTCAGAAGTGAATAAATAAACATATAAAAAGCAAGTCTCTGCCTACACTATCAAATCCTTTTTAAAAATTGTCTTCATGACACACAAATCATTACCACCCCTCTTTATGCCCATTCCTGGCAGTTTGTCATCAAGAGCTAAGTGTTTCAAACAAGCTCATAATAATAGAAATCAAATCTTAGGTTCTTGCATGGAGATTTCTGACTACAGGCAAGGAAGGGCTGGTTCTCCATCCTCAGTGGAGCAAAGGGACACTGCATTGGAGCTAGCTGGGGCTGTCATGTGTTTAACCTGTGTTTTGAGCAGTATTCACATGAACAGTATTGAGAAGTTATGTTTCACTGGCTTTAAATGACCATGGCTATAGAAAACAATAAACACATCAGACTTGCAACACACTTTCCCACTGGTATAAATACGGATAACATGTTAGAAATTATATTGAATATTTTTGCCCTTTTTCAAACCATGGTTTGTGGTGCTGAGCACAGTAAGCGGGTGCTCTACCCCTGAGCTATACCTCCAGCTCAGTGTGTTTGCCTTCTGTCCTTCATTATGTAAAGTGGACAGATGTCTCTCAGTGACTGTTGACCAGGATCTTGCCTAGCACACTCTCACTTCCCAACCTAAGGTACAAGTAGTGACAAACTCTTCACTGTGAAGATGGCATAACATGTTTTGAAACCCACAGATTAATCATTCTTTGACCCGAAGTCTTTCTTGTCCCCCCAAGTTCTTCCTTGTGTTATTTCTTGTCCATCAAATCACTCAGGCTGATTAGAAGTGGGCTTGTCCCATGTATATTACTGAACCCTGGGCTTGGGGTAGAACTCACTTCAAACATTACTATATTGTTGAAGATTACTTTACTATATTGTTGAATATAATTGGGGGGGGGTGAATAAGTTCTCAATATGCATCCCAGGCTGGCTACAAACTCACCAGCCCCTGCCTTAGTTTTCTGAGTAATGGGATGACAGGCTTGCACTGTGAGGCTCAGATAACCCACAGCTATTTTTTTTTTAAGTATACAGATGGGTGTGTGGGGGTGTGGGTGCGCACATGCACACACATGTGTTGGCAGAGAGTTTGTGTTAAGTTTAAAATATATATGTGGCATTGAAAATATGGACAGTCAACAAGGATTCATAAAATATAACAAGGTAGCAAGTGTAGGGGAAAGGAAGCAAGATAGAATTATAGGCAGCCGAGGAACCTTCCAGGAAGTTGGGGAAGGTAGCTGACCAGCCACATGTCTGTGTTTTATTTGTAAACATATTCACTCATTGTTTATCCAGTGAACATTCATAAGAACCTACTAGACCCTTGGTTTGGTGAGAAGTTCTGGAAACAAAGAGGTGATATAGATGGACATGGACTCCACCCTGATAGCATTTCAGGACACATGCATGAAGACATAGTCACAAAGGAATCTCTCAGATGCATCATTACAAGTGTGATAAGCATTGTCTTGGATGACATCACTCCTCCAGAGTATAAAACAGGAGAACTTCTTAAGAGAAGCAGGAGAGCAGAGCCATTCCCAGGACCAGGAAGGCCCCATCCCCAGACACAGCATGTGGGACCAGGAAATCCATTCTTTCCTTTTCAGGCACAGGGCAAGTTTCATAGGCTTGGTCTGACCTCAGGTCTCTCACACCTTGGGTGTTCTGAGGTTATATACATTTCCCGGGACCTATGTATTCTCTAAAATGAGTGACTTCATCCTAGTGATAATCTTGGCTAATTCATAAAGAGAAATGTGTTCAAGATAGTCTTGGGGTTCTACATTGCCTTGTTAGAATAGAACTGATGAATCAGTCACAGCATGGGCAAAGGGAGGGCATTTTAATAGAGTGCACAGAAGAGGAAGAGGCTGGTCTGTACAGGGCGTAGGTTGGTCAGGCTCAGAGGAGCAGCTCCTGATGGTTACTGCCATTGGTAAGGAATGAGAGGGTCATGCCAAATGCACCTTCCCATAGATCGACTTGGAGCCACATATTAGTAGCAGCTGATGTAGTGGAAGTGTGACATAGACATTGCACGTGTTGATTTTCAGATAATTGGATTGCATAAGGACTGACTCCCATTAAGTACCTTACACCCAGGCAAGTGGGTACAGTGGTGGAGTGGAGCACAGTTCCTGACTTACTAGCTGTGAGAGTTTGGGCAAGTTAATTGCCTCTCTATTCTCCAGAACCCTCTCATGACAACACAAGACTAAGTGTATGATGTTGCTTTCCTAAGGACTAGTGAGTTTTACACATGGGAATCTCAGGACACAAACTGACACTCCTTAGACAGTAGCTGTGACTATTTTTATTACTGTAAAATTAAACAGCAACCAGCTTATGTAGGCACTCCAGGGTGGCTTGGTGGCAGAATTTTAAATACTATATCTGATTACCTTCAAGTGGCTGTGTTTGGGGGGAGGGGCTATTAGCATTGTTTTGTAGGCATGCTGTGAGCCATGTCTGTACTGCCACTGTCAACATCAAGTGCAGAAAGTGACAATGAGGAGAGAAATGGTCTGAGGCATCATTTTTTTTTCATGGTTTTGCTTTTGAGACAGGATCTTTGTAGTACTAGCCCACACCTGCTGCTGGCCTAGAACTACTATGTGGCCCAGGTTGGCCTCAAACAATCCTTCTCCAGTATCTGATTCCACTCTTGGAGCCACCACACCTACCATTGTTAAAATCAGAATGGTATTTAGGGTTTCTTCAAGATTCTATTACTCATTTCAGATTGTATGTGGGACAGTTTAAAATTGTTGTATTATTTAGATTTTTGCAGCAGAAGGATGATTTCAAACTCATAGCAATCATCTGGCTTGTTTCAGCAATAAAATTTTATTACATATATTTGGTGTGTCTATGTGTTTACATATGTGTCTGTGTACATAGGTGCCACAGTCCACATGTTTAAGTCAGAGAACAACTAGTGGGGGTCAGTTCTCCTTTTTCAAATATGGGCCCAACAGTGGAGCTCGGGTCATCACACTTGTTGCTTGGCAAGTATCCTTACCAACTGAGCCATCTCACTGGCCCTATTGGCATTTTAGTTACTTGAGAATTCTAAGAATATGCATATTCAAGTTACATTTTACTGAAAGTACCAAAGTTCAACTGGGATGTCCCTTGAGTCCCTGAGAAGTATTGTTTCCCTTCAAGAGGGATTTCTGTCCCCTGGAACTGTATTCCAGGACACCACCAGGATTATTGAGTAACATTTCTGAATCTCTAAAAGAAATTGCAATGCCAGTGTCCAACCTGTCTGCTGAAGGACTAGCCTAAAAGAATTTTAGGGCTGTAGTACCAAAAATGGCTGTTGTCTTCAACTACCACACCTATCTCTCACACTCGGATGGTACTTATGGAATGGCAAGAAAGGTCAGAGATGCCCTGGGAATAGCTTGTAGATGACAGTGAATGCAATGAAAACAGTGACATACAAAGTTCAATGGTACCAATTAAAACTAATTTATTGGAAATCTTATTCTATATGTTTTCAAAAATTATTATTAATTATATTAAATTATGGGGTATGGTACAGTGAATTGTTCTATATATGAAGTGAGTAATTATTGAATCAAGATAGTTCATGTGTTCTGCTCCTGAGAGGCTTTTTGGTTTTGACCACCATGAAGTAGCATGCTTCTCTTTTGGGTTCACTGTGGTATTTTGATACATGTCTACAATGTGTTCTGACAAAACAAAGGCAATGTTTCCACCCTCTCATGACTTCACATTTGCAGCCTTCTGGCCCTTGCCTTTTAGCTACTGTAAAACTTGGAATAGATTGTTGCAAGCTCTCATCCCCTCATGAAAATCAGAATTTACACCTTTTATCAATCATGTTTGAGTACCTGTTTCCTAACCTCCTTCTAATCCTCTCCAATTCACACATTCCAGCCTCTGAAAGTCACTATTATGCATTCTTCTTATTATTATTATTTTTAAGACACCAAAGGCTAAGGAAATGGCTCAATTGGCAGAGTCCTTGTCTAACAGGTATAAAGAAGGGTTTGATCATCAGCACTCCATAGACCAGGTGTGGAACACTGTGTCTGTAATCCCAGCACTGGGCAGTTAGAGGCAGGAAGATCAGTAGTTCAAAGTCACTACAGGAGGCACTGTCTCAAAATAACAAAAACAGAAGAAGAAAATGAGGACTGCCATGTGACACATGAGAGAGAATATGCAGGACTTTTCTGAGTCTTGCTTATTTCGCTTAACATAATGCCTTTAGTTTTGTCTAGCAGTAGAG